TCTGGACATGATAAGAGACAATCAGGGTTTATGTTGCTGGCAACGTATGAAAGTTATTGAGGTTGTAAAGGACAGTGAAATACAGATTTTGATTTCCCCGCATGTAATGGCAAAGAGGGAGGCTGCTCTTATGAGACATGAATGAAGCCTGAAGGTGAAAAGTACCAACGCAATAACAAGATGGTTCTTCCTTACCAGCATATATCATGTTCATATCTGTATTTGCCATCCTGATTAATTAAGGAAAACCTATGAGGGATTCTTTTATAATTAACTGTGGGATGCACGCTTCTATATTCTCCGTCTTACAGCTACAGTACCATCCTATTTTCCCCCCACAAATTTTTGGGATGTTAAAATCTACTAAATAAACTTGGCTTCGGATATTCAGAAAAGCTACTGCGTAAACTAGTTCAGAGGATAATTGAGATAGCATTGCGACCACAGCGTTCCATAAAAACCAAAGCGCAATACACAAAAAAGACAGACAGAACCAAGATTCAGATAAGACAGCATTTCAGATTAAAGGAATTCAGATAAACAGGATTTTAACTGACCTTAACATTTACAGGAATGGAATACATCCCCCTGCAGATCGCTTCCTATTTAATCCCCCTGTAATATCTGAAAGGTTAACAAAATACACACTGCCACAATTAACTTGAAGCACATGACTGTTACAGGGAGGAAATGAGCTTGCTGTGAATATCAGCCAGGCCTGTGGCTTTCCTTTCTGTAATCTGTTTGCGAGTGGCATGTCTGACTGTGGAAACGGACGGACTCGGACGGACTCGGGTTCTCTGATTCTACGATTCTTAGAGACGGGATGAGCAACAGCTGCGTCTGGCTGCCCGGAGAGTCCTGCTAACCTGGCTCAGGTCAAGCACAAAGGGAGCACCTCCAGAAATCAGAGGGCAGGCCAGCAGCGATGACCAATTTAATTACTGAGGGTTGTACTGAGTGAACCGGCTGAAGGCTGTGTAGTAATAACTACTTGGTATCGGTGAGGAAGCCATTTCTGGTATGAAACATGCTGCCAGCAACCACCTTGAGGAGAGAGGACCAAGCCGATGGGGTTTGTGGTTCAGCTTGCAAAACCCATACGGCTTAGCGGGAGCTGTGATTCCAGAGCCACGCAGCGTTACGCCTAACAGAGCAACGTTGCCTCCCATGTTCTCCCCAGCTTCTGACCCACCCAGCAAGGCTGCCAGGCCAGCCAGTCCTTTTCTGTCCAGTGTCAGGTTATTTATTAAGTAAGAGGAGCCTAACTGAAATTTATGACCTTATCACGGTCACTGAGCATCCAGGAGAGGAGGTCGCATTTGGGCAAGATGAGACTGATGCCTGCTTCTCTACGACCTGTGTGCTTGCAAAGGACTTCCAGGACATGTTCCACCACGCAGCTTTTCTACGCTTCCATTCTCTCTGCGGATTCAGTGTGTGCAAGATCCCTAATGAACCAAGTGCAATTAGCACTGAAGCGCTCCATTTTCAAGCATTTTCATTTTAACCTGAACACACACACGATAACACCTCTTCCACCAATGACCAGTATGTTGGGAGCTTTAAGGTACCCGTGCGCACGCACACACAGAGATAGCGCGGCAAGCACAGAAGCGCTATCTGTCTAAAATGCATGGCAGATCTGGAGCAAGAGAGACCCTCGTTAATCTTTAGAAAACAATCAGTCTAATCAGTCAAGACTTGACCCTCCCGGCTACCCTTTTCCTTCTTAACCTAGCAATAGATATGAACGCGTCTTCTTTTGATTTCAAGGGTACTATTTCTATACGTGAGGTTACGCATATGCAGTGCTGGTGCACGCTGGAGAGCTCCATTCAGCGCAAGGCTGAGCCCTTGTTATTGCACCTGACATTTCCTTCATGTGGAGGAAAATTCAGCTCTGCATTGCGTCAGCAGGTCACAGACCCGACTTCGGCCCGCATTTGAACACGTTGCACTTCACTTGTACCACATGAGAGCCTTTTGCCAATGTGGTTTTGGTCTTTTAAGCACAAATATTATGCTTGCCATGCTATGTACAAAGCCACTGGTGACACAATGTGCCTGTGTACCCGGTTGGGTAATTTTCAGCAATAACGACAGGGCGCAATCATCTTTAGATCTGATTTGTTTCTCGGGGTCTAAGTTCTGCCTCTGGCTGCACACGTGCAATTTCCCACCGAACTTAATGGAAAGTGTATGTACATGTCTCTAAGCAGCTTGCTGCCGGTGTGCTTATTTATGCATACAGCTGGTTTGCACAGCTTTGTGATCTCCTGACTGATATGTGGGAATCTCTTCATCATCTTCTCCTCTGCCAGGTACACTCAGCTCCTGAAAATTACCTTCCCCCAGCTGGTACACACGGAAGGGCACTGGCCTGAGTAATAGGCTTGATGGGTGGCACTTGTAACATAGTAAAAGGATGGTAGACTGCCATTAACTTACATTGTATGCTACTCTTTACATGCCTTTTTTCTTCTTTTCCCAGTTTTCCTCCATGTTCCTACCATCTATCAGTCTCTGAAGGTTTATATCAGGAACATCTTGAAAACCACTTTAAAGAAAATGGGTTCAATCTTCCCCTTGATCTTTACACAGAACACTGACATCAAGAGGGAGTCCCACGTGTGGGATGAACATACGGAATATGCTGTTTCAGATGAAGTTTTGTGGCTATTAGGATCAGAAAGCCGTGCGAATTCTCTGTCTGGTGTGAGTGGGCAGGAAAACCTTCAGATGTTCCATGATCCTGAACTTTTCTGATCTTTTTCAGGCCATGCCTAATTAGTACCAAATTCAGAAAGCAAAAATTTAAGCCTGAATTATTTATCACATCGTATTTACAAAATGCACTGCAATACACACCATGGCCCAGTTCACAACAACTACAGATAAGATTAATCTTTCACTGATGCCATACTCCTTAATATGAAAATATAATTATCTAGCTGAAGAGTTTCTTAAATTACATACTTTCAAACCAGTATGAGCAGAATTTATCCTTGTGTCTGGTGCTAAGCCAAGTAGAAAAAACATTGGAAGCAGAATTGACAAAACACGTTGGCTCTGTCTGTCTATCAGTATTTCCAGTGCACACCTTACCCTGTCAACATCTCAGCTCCAACCTGGTCTCAAATACTAACGTGTAATATTTTCCTCCCTGAAATGTGATCCTGAAGAAGGGAGTTCCAGAACTGCAGAGACACACTGAAGGATAAATGTGCTTAGTTTGCAGTAAATCCCCTGCAAGTTAATACACATTTATCTTGCCCAACATGGAAATTAAAAAAAGAAGAATATCACAGAAATTATTCTTACCTTTACTTGGAGTAAACTGTATCTGCATTTGATGTACATTTACAGCTGTGCATGCGAGTAAGTATAGAGTATTTGTTGCAAATGCCTTTGAGAAAAAGCCACACCTTTAGTCTGCATTGTCTGCAAAGTACATTTTCTGCAGTTTCCTCTGGAATGCTACATCCAGAAAGATGTGTAATCAACTTTCAGAGTAAGTGTGTATAAGTATATCTCTTTAATTTACTGTACTTTTAAAAACTATTTTCTCCCCTGAAGAAACTCACAATGACTCCAGGAAAGCCTACCACCTGTTTGTCTGATGATCATCAATAATGCACAGTAGAGTTTTAAAGCCTGATAGATGGATATATTGATGGTAAAGAGGCTAAAAGAAAGATGAATGCAGTCCGGTGAGTGAAGAATGCAAGCTGGAGGAGGGGATATTAGTAAGCTTATAAAATGGATTTTCTTGTGGGAAAAAAGCCCTTTTCAGGGATGCATGCCCAGTATCTTTGAAAAGTAGCTTTGTGGTAAGCAGCATGTAGAACTTCCTATTTTTGCATTGTATTTAATTCATAAAAGATTTTTTTCCATTGTACGTTCTAGGTATAATTTCATTGCTTTTGCTTCATGCTTCTAGGAGCTGAGCTGCTGTGGTGACGTTCTCTCCGTTAGAAATAGAAGGCAGGCTTTGGTTTAAAGCATAAATGAAGGGGTAAGGTGCCAGTATCCCACATGTTGGCTGCCTGATCAGCCTGCCTTGCTCCCTACATTCTTCCAACTTGTACTTGTTTGAAAAACAATTACATTTTTCGAATGAATTGCTGTTAATACAAATGCATTTTGATTGTCAGTGCCACTGCTGGTTCTGCAGTTATGGGCAAGAAGATAAGTTTATTTCCCTCCAGGGCCTCAACAGAGAGCTGAGGGAGATCAACCAGTATTTTAGGCAGCTAAGTGTGAAATACTGGTTGGGTCAATAACTTGCCCCCCACTGCCGTTATGCTTGCTGTCAAAAGCTGGCAAGGAGACATATCGGTATGGAGTCAAGTGCAGGTCTGATGGTACTGAGATCTCCAGCCTGGACTCTCCGACTTCACTGAATATTCCTCTCTGCCTCTGTGTCATCACAAGAACTCTTTGTCAAACCAGCATTAATCTGCTCTCCATAACTACCCGTCTGTGTGATAAGCAGCACAGGAAAATGGGAAAAGCATAAAGACAAGGTTTTGTGACAAAACTGGGTTTTGTCTGATGGAGCAGCTGTAACGACTCTTAGCATTCAGAAAACACCTGTCTGCAGCCCTAGGTAGGATGGGCCTTGGATTTGCCGTACCACAACTGCACCCCCATGAAAAGGGCCATTCAAGGAGAAAAACTCTGCAGGATTTCCAGATGATCTGCATCCCTCCTGAGGATTCTTTTTACAGAAGGCTAACATCTGGCTCCAGGTTTGGAGCCATCTTCACTAATCTGAATACAAATTTAATGAATGCCAAATATTGTCATCATCATGAGTGATTTAAATATGGGTAAGTTCAGCTGATCTTGTCTCAATCTATTATTTAAAAGTTTGCAGTCACAAGTCCAGTGCTATAACTGATGCAACAGCAAAGCAAAACAACCCACCAAAAACCCAAAAAACCCCCCAAAACAACAAAACCCCGAAGATTTACAAAGGTAATTGCTAATTTTACCTGTCCAGCCTGCAAGACAGCAGCAGTAACCGGTGACAGGATTGCACCCATCTGCATGGCTACAGTCACAACGTTCACTGCAATTAAGACCATATGTTCCATCCTTCCAAAAATATAAATAAGAAAGTCTCTCAGTAATCAGTTTTTTGTTCTAAAATGTGCAAAATCATCTATCATGTCCCTCTTAATGCTGAGTCGCATTTTTTAAATTAACATACAGAGAAGATAGAAACAGCTCAGTGCCTAACATTTCTGTATGGAACCAAATGAGGAATCACTTTAAAAAATGATGTTCAGGAAAATGCAGATAACACGGCAATAGCTCTGATAAAATATAATGCAAAGCATAATACATCTACTTGACTGCTAGAACCCCAATCTGTTATTTACACGTGATTTCCTTCAGATATCCAGACAAAATGAGATACTGACCTACTGTGTATTTAGAAGAGCTACATGGACCGTGGCTTTAAAAGGGGGTGCAAGACCATCCCAGGTGTACTTACAGGACACGGCTGGTCACAGTACTCCCCTTGCCAGCCAGGTGAGCAGAGACAAAAGCCATCAGCCGGCCTGCAGGCTGCTCCGTTTGTGCAATAACATGTCTGGTTACAGTTAAGACCCCAGCTTCCACTTGAACATGGAATAGAGCAATCCACTCCTTGCCACCCTAAAGAAACATATGAGAGGAACAGCATTTGGGATGTTTTCATGAAAAAAGCAAGGTAGAGGCAGCAAGAAAGGCAGCTTGCAAACTGCAGCTCTTTGATTCCAGGACCAGTTTCCTCCTGATCTTGGTGTAAATAAAGATTGACCCTTTAATTATGACCGCCCAACTTGACCTACCGGTGTCTATATGTACAGAAGGGAGATATAGGTATCACTGTGTTGGCTCCTTACCAGATTAAGATGTCTGATGCCCCTCTGGGAACTGCTCAGGCAGCAAGAGGGAGTGCGGAACTGTCTGGCAGGCTGGAGACCTGCTGATCAGCAAGAATGCAAGAAACTTGCCATTTGCTGCTGCCTATTTCTTCCCTCATATTTTTTTGAGAATGCTCTTTAATATAAAGAAGCTATTACACCTAAAAAAAGACCAAGGCCATCATTTCTAACCATTAAGGCTCAAATCTTAACTACCAGCCGCACAATGGCTTTCATTACACTGCAGCTGTATGTAATGGAGTTGAGCAGTAACTCATGGTTTATACACCCTCATTAAATGGGGTTCTACAGTGATCCATTAATTCATGTTTGAAATGCCAGATTTTATCGTTATTTGCCTCACTTCTGTTTTAGGGCTTACGTATGCCGTACAGGCATAGCTCATGTTGGTATTCTGGGGGAAGGCACCGCTAGACAGGGAACGTAAGAGGTCCTGTGCTATGGAGCGGTACAAGATCTCTCAAGTGATTACTGGATACACGGGTTATGCTCACTGCCAGGCACATAAGGGAATTATGGACACATGTGTGGGAAGAAAAGAGGTTAGCCTTGCAGACAGTCTCCGGAGCGAGCAAGACTTCTTGTTTCCCCCGACAAAGGACAGCCACATCCTGCAACCCCATGCCAGCTCAGGGGACAGAGGATACCTGCCCATGGCTGGGGTGTCACAGTGTCAGGGTACAGCAAGGACGGGGAGCTGAGGAAGGCGACAAGGGCGGACGGCCAGGGCCCACCACACAGTCCCCAAGTGTGGGGCTGGCAGCCAGCATTGGCTAGGAGCCCAGACCACCAGGAAAGCCTATGGGAATGAGAGCAGTGCAAGGTCGAGACGGGCAGGCGGTCTGCAGGTCAGGGTCGGGGCTGGTGAGGATAACCACGGCTGGGCAGAGCCCCGGCAAGGGGCTAAAGAAAAGACAGGCAGGAGGCCGCCTCTGCTCCCTTGCCCAGTTGTGTCACTCTAGGCACAGAGGGGAGAACAGGGGCTTTTGGGTCCCGGAGAAATGGGGCAGCAAAGTGATAGAGAAAAAACCTCAACAGGCTGGGGATTGCTTTGCATTTCCTTTGGAGAGGAGCTGTGGCTCTGCCAGCACACTTAGTTCTGTGACCTGTTCCTGCAGCAGAGCAGTTAAGTCTGGCCCCTGTTCAGGGCAGAGACAAAACATACAGTCAAGCCCCTGTTGCGTTTTAATACTTGGGCAGACTGTTGGATTACCGACAGGCACAAGAAAATAGTGGAGTTACTGACTGCACAGCTGTGCCACTTTAGAAAGGGAGAAGCACTGATGCCAAATTGTAGACAATTGTTAAATCTGAATTTTGTTTACCTTCTTTGCAATAGCACAGACCATCCACAGGGGAACACGCACCATCATTTTTGCAATTACAAACTGATGAGCAATTGGTACCGTAGGTTCCCGCCATGCAGGTAATGGTGCAGTCATCTCCCTGCAAACCAAAAAAAGTCAGAGTCAGCTAAAGAAATCTGAATTGCAGGAAATTCCCGTCTCTGCCCAGGGAGGCTTTCTCTTTCGAAACAGTGAACAGAGTGTTATGAGTTGATTGCTGAGTCTTCAGCACTTGAGCAGTCACCGCTGCTTCCCATGATTATGATGCAATTAGTGCTTTGATTGACTCGGAGGAAAGGGACAA